TAAATTGAAAGGATCTAATCACTGCAGCTGTCAGAAGTTTCAATAATACAAGCTAAGGCTAAAAATACTAAACAAAATATTGCATGCTTGAAAGTAAATATATGAAACAATGACTTTACCTGACTTTGAACACTTCCTGAATAAAAATAGCCATCTTCATTACGTCTGGCTAAAACTTCTTTACCTATTAACAATGCCCCAGCAGCAGGTGACATTTCTAATGCTTGTGCCTCATCTAATAGTTTGTCTTGCATCTTTAACCAGCCTTTAGCTGGTCGATAACGACTCCAATAAGAGGGGTGATAATAACGATAGCCTTGAACGGGAGGAAAGACATAAGGATTTATGACTGGAGAAACTAGTCTAGAGTTGAGGTAGGCACTTTCTATAGGGTCAGCAGCTAATGTGGTTGAGACATTACATTGTTTAATTTTAGAAAACAAATTGTTGTCTGTTGATTTCAGATAGTTTGAATGTTCAGCTTTGAACACGGGTGTAAGTTTTTCAATGGCGCCTTTAGTTGTAATGCTGGCTATGAAAAATGAACCATAAGTTTCTATGGCTAAATCTTCTAAAAATTCAGTTGCAGATTCATCAGCTTTTTCACCCATTAAATAAACACAATGGACTGGACGATCATTGTCCACATATCCAACGTGGTCTAAAATTTCTTCTGGATTTTGATCTGGTAGGCCGTCTGTCACCAAATATACAGCTTTACATTCTGGATCACCAAAAGCAATTAATAATGCATCCATTGTATTTGTTCCTGTCTTAGCACTCAGTTCATCAATCCATTTACTTGCCACAGCCACTGTTTCCGGGGTACATTTGACCATCTTGTCTGACCACTGAGTTATTTGGGAATTGAATTCTACGATATTAAATAAAGGAGAACCACTAGAATGTTTGACATGTTTATACAAAGCTTCTACTAATTGTTCTTTCACTACATGTAAACAGTTATACATGCTACCAGAGGTATCCACACAAAATGTCACACTCTCTTCCACAACATTGTCAAAGATCATAGGCGCTGGAACTGGTGCCTCCTCCATTTTATGTTCACTCTTTGGTTCTTCTGATGACATCATCTGAAAAAATGTTAAACCATACAAAACATTTTTTGACAAATTAAAAAATTTATCTCAAGAACAGTTAACCTAATGGAAAACTTTTTCTGCCAAAATATCCTTTAGGTTTTATAAAGAATCCATTGGAGAGCCTCACCAACAATGATGCGTCCAGAGCTGAGTAACACTTATTAATTGAATTTGGATAATGATCATATTCTTAACTACTATAAATTTACAGAAATATTGTTGTCATCTGAAACTCTTAAATGTACTCTTTGTACTTTATAGTATATAATAGTCTAAAACAATTTACTTTCTATACCTGCAGCCATTAATCGCTTTTCTTCATTATTCCAGAAAATTTGAAGCAGTCAATGTAGATTATAGGTATTATGAATTTCTTTATTAGGTCCAAGAAGATTTATAGGATAACCGTTATGATCTTCTTTGATTTAGTTCATTGCATATTAGCATCACAATTATTGTAAACATAACTTTAACCCTGTGCCAGTGCCTTATATTGAATAGTAACTGGTTACTCTTCAATCACCCTAATCTCTAAGCCAGTACAAGTATTCTTACATATGGTTATAAGTAAAATTACTGTGCAGATCAGCACCAAATACAGAAAAAATCATTATCTCCTAGCAACTGACCAGGTTTCTTAATCTTTAATGCACAGTTTAGAATTACATTTTAATCTTAATAGATTTCTTACATAAACAATTGCACATAAACAAATAAACATTCATATTACAATAACTGAAATAAGATATAGCCCTCATTTACTTTTTGGGATCTAGTTCAAAT